GGTTTTTATATAGGTACTAAAGAGTTTTTATAGAATATAGACTTCTTGAGTGATCTAAAAAGCAAAATGAATACTTTAGTAGCCAGGGTACCAAAAAAGTGTCCCAGAACTCCCAAAATTGTCCTACTCTATTTCTTAATTAGTTATTGAGATATAGCACCCTGGATATGCATATCCCCTGGTATAAATTAAATTTGTTCTACTTGTAATATAAATTGAATTATTTAATAACGATTATTAGATTTTAATTTATTAATCAAAATAAACAGCAAAACAGTATTTACTCTAAACTTTTAAATCGATATCACTTTGGTTTATTTTTTTTTATTTTTGTTATAAACTTTACAGCTTCTCTTTAAACTATTAAAATTTTTGGCAATTTAGATACAAAGTAGTATCATGTAAATCTAACATAGTTAGCTTCATTAACGATAAATTTATTATAACTTGTCTATACTGTATTTTATCTGATTATACTATTATATATATGCACCTATGGAAATAAAGTCATAAAATTTTTCTAGTTATCATATTGTCTATTCAACATGTAAATTTAGGTTAAACTATTTACCTTTTATATTTAACTTTGGTGGTATGTAAAAGGTTAATTAAGCACAAGCGCAATTATTAGATACATTTAAAAACAAAAGCATTCTATTAATAACGGTAAATTACTAATAATCAGTTTATAACATTGAGTATCAAACCATTTCTATCGAGCATATATCCAAAAAAAAAAAAAAATATTAAAGTATTATATTAATACGATTTCAACAAGGTCCTTCGTTTATCAACCCACCTGATAAATATAAAAATGTCTAAAAGTTGTTATACTATTACACGGACTTCAGATTGCTCAATGTTTCGGCCAAATGTTTAGATAATCCAACACAATTAGCCAATAATTCGGTCAACTCTTGTTCATACGCTTCAAAATATTGTAGATTTTTCCTCGATATAGAAAGGTTTCTAAGTATTAGGGAAGCCGTTAAAGGAATCCCGATAGCATCTCCATTCACATCTACTGAGACGTGAGTCCTATGGTTGATAATACCGTTATTTTTGCCATATTTATTCAAAACTTTGAACTTGGACGATTTTCCTCTATGTTTTCTGTTGTCACCATCAAAGTCAGGAAGAACTGGAAAGTGCGTTTTAATGTGAGCAATGACAGATGTTCGACTATCGACACCACAGGGAAACCGACGACATCCCATCCAGTGACATTCGAATCTCTCTTGTTCTAAGTTAATATGGTCATTAAAAACATGATTATATAAATCATTCTCTACAGCAAAGGGAAGACTCATGCAACCAGTCCAACGGCATCTATAGGAGGGGTCTAGAAGTCGAAAACTTTAAAATTTAATTCAAAGTTGATAAATATTAGTAGAAATAGAAATACTTTACGATTCATTGTTGACTCTTCTTGCAACGGCTTGCGCCTTATTCCTTGAATCATATATGTAAGACAGAGTCAGGGATTAATTAAATGTTAAATAGATAAAATACCGCATGTTACTGATTAGAAGCAACCTCCGAATAAAAACGACCTCATCTAAATTTATGATGCAAATAAAGCCACCTCTTCTTGTTGGCATACAAAAATTTTTTGGTTGTTTCTATTCGATAACATACGGTCATCAGAGGAAATAGATAGAGTAAAGGATATTTTGATGATCCATCCCCCGTAGTAATCATTACGGCGTTTGATTCCGGAAACGCCTGATTAACATGCTTAATAACCTCCGCAGCTGGCATCATTGGCATCGGTGAATTCATAAATTGATCACGATACGCATACCAAATTTCCGTTTGTAGCACACCATCAAATTGCGATTCTTCATAAAACCTTTTTAGCCTATTATTTTTTACGAAGGTAAATTAAAAAATTATATTCTACAATTTTCATAAATATGTATAGTTATTGACTTGATGTTCACCATTCTAAAGTACGATAAGGCTCAGGATAATCCTCGAATTCACCATGAATTTGAAAGGGCTGTGATTCCATTGATGTTCTTTGATCATACATATAATCTTCTTCATTTGCTCCATAGCGTAAAAAATTAATTAAAAGACGCACGAAATTTCCTGGAGCGTTTTGAGCTATAGTATATGCAGAGTCTTCATATGTAGAATATTGATAAAACCAATCTAACACCGCAAGTATTAATTCTTCATCATCCTCAATGAGCAACAATTGCACTAAACGTTGAACAATAGTAGGATCTATTTCTCGCAAAAAATCGGCGTTGTGCTCGTTTGCTGCTAAACTAGCCATTGCACGAATACTAAGCAAAACGAGTGCACTATCTTTGGAATAGAGCAACTTGGGCAAGGTTGAAAGAAGTTCATCTTTGCTACTCCTCAAAGTTATAACTCTACACATATTAGTAACCGTCTCTAGACAATGATGTTTTAATTCTGATAATCGCGCAACCTCAGGTAACACTAAACTTTCTATTAAAAATCTACGTAATGGCTTATACCCAGCCATAAACTTTACGTTATGTTCCGTGAAAGAAAGATTTCGGAACATTAAAAATATTTGCATTATCCTTTTTAATTGTTCAACTTTTGTCGACGAACTCAAAAATTCGTTGATAGTTGCCTCAAGATTATCTGCATCTTTACAATAATCCATAGCGGACATGCAAACAGAATCATGTCCCGTAAGCTTTCGTAAGTCTTTATAAAATGGTGACACGAATAAAAGAATAGTATCCACTAGACCAGGAATTTTATCAACATAAAAATTGATTATTTCGTCCGCCGAAAGTTGTACTAAAATTTCGAATGCCCAATCCACTTCATTTGGAAGGTTAGATTTTAAGGCAAGAAGTATACGATTGTGATGTCCTCCACCAAGAAGGAACCCTAATAATATAACAAATTAAGTAATAGTAAAATAAACAACCGATATAACAAAAAGCAGTTACCGTGTTCTTCCTCCTCCTCCTCTTCCTCCTCTTCTATTTCTTCTTGCTCTTGTCTCTCTGGTTGCACCGATACTTGCATTGCCTGATCGGTTGATTGAATATTTGGAGAATCATAACTAGTAAATGCCTGAACCGGAGTCACCACCTCTGATTTAATTTCAAATAATTTTGAATTAATTATATCAAAAATAACATACACATTAAATTGTAGTTTACCTGGCAAATTTTCTTGCGCCAGAATCCTTCTTTGAAGTGGAGGTGTTGACAGTTCTTGGTGTGGCGTTGTATATTGATGATCATGAGATTGTGAAATTTGAGAAGGAGATATTGGTGGTCTGGGCGGAAGACCTCCGTATGGTACAGTTTTGCCCCAATGTTTCTCCATTTCATATGCTTCTAAAAATCTTATATATACATTTTTCATTACATAAGCACTATTTGTGCAAGTTGATGGAAAATTGAACGGTTCGCAAATTTTTTTCCAGCTTTTTTCTAGACAAATTTTTTCACAACCACCGTGAGAAATCACCATATTATATATTTTGTATAAATCCAATTTTTTGGAACCAAGAACTGGTTCTTTTTGCAGCGGAGTGCTAATATAGAATATATTTAAGATTTTATCAATTAATAACACGACTTTTTTTTTTCAGAAAAAACTAGCTTCCTCTTCATATTGATACCAATTTGAATCAAAAATTCCAATTTACCCGTGAGCCCTATGAAATTCTTCAAGACTTTTCATAAAAGCTTTATATTCAGGGGTTCGATCAATGTTGTCCTCTACGGGCTTAATTGGACGTGGTGTTCCCGGTAGCCTTATATCCCTTTGAAGGTTAACAAAGTTTTCATTTGCCCTGCTGCCCCTAGGACGTCTACTCATTTCTCAATTTATAACGATATCAATAGATGAGAAGAAGCTACGTCGCGTCGAAAGAACAAAAAAGCGCGTCAGTCGTTTAAAGAATTAATTTGATCACAGTATTATATCGTATATTTACAATTAACATAAGAACTGCGAGGTCATATATATGTGATTGTTCGTGTAACCTGTTTCCGAGCCGTCTCACAGCCAAATTGTTTGACTGCAATTGTTCCTATTGGATGCATCCCTAAATAGATTACATCACTATAATTCTTTTTTTTTAAAAATGGCACTATTATGTACGTACGTACGTAACAATCTAGAACTTCATAATTAAAAAAACATAATACTGTCAATTTATAACATTTTCAATTAGTGACATAATGTAATGTATATTAATCGGGACATCAATGATATCTTGAATAGAGATTTTGAGCTCCCAATATCTTTGGCGGATTTAAAGCGTTACAAATAAAATGACTCATAATACTATTCTTTTTATTGGCATATCGATATTGGAAAAATCTAAAAGTCCAATGAAATTCCGGATTTCTGTCAATAATACCGTATTACAGTTTAATGCTAATTAAAATAGTGTATAACTTCCAAGTCCATTATTTGATTGCATCGCTTACACACTATATACCTCTAATGATATAAAGTAGATTTGATGTTACACGAGAATGTATGACTCAATATATACAAAAAAAACCTTTTGCAATGGTCAAAAGCTTATGTATGAATTATTATCATAAGAAATCGATCAGCCGATTTCTAAAAAAATCGACCGGCTAAACCGAAAATTGGCTTTAGCCATTTTCATTATTGGCCAGGATCACTAATTTGCACATCTACCCGTACCACTTTCCAGAAATTTGCGTACATGACTGACGTGTTGGAATAGCAGGCACTCTGATATTATATACTTCGATGAGTTCCTGTAATCAAACAATACTAATTAATATTACCGATTAAAAAGCATACTTTGGCATGGTTTGTTTAATGTAAATAAATACCTTCCAAGTATTCATATCTATTCCCATAACAAGTTGTTTTTTAATCAAGCCCTCAGCATATTCCTCGCCAGTTGGTGGCTCACAACATGCTATTTGGTTTAAAAGAAAGTTAATTTCTTTGTCGATAACACATAAATAATAAACCACTTGTAAAAATACATGCTTAGAATAGGCTGACCGCTTTCATCATCAATGTTTACTTTAGCATCACGTACTAAAAACGATAAGTAAAATAGGTTTTCGATCGTTTGTCCGAAGGACTCGGGATTAACGATAAATTCAAAGAAATTAATAGGCTGTTTTTCCATCAATATATTGTAAATATTCCGAACATTTTTTGTTGTTTCATTCTCCTGTCTTTCAATATCCTTTTCTTCCAACTAAAATTTTATTGTGAATATGTTTAAGCATGTACTTATACAACAAGGTAAGACTTTAGAAGCACATGTAATCAAATAAGAAAAGAAACCTACTTGCTTTGGCATAACCATGTCATTTTTGTTTTTTGTCACAGTTTGACGTATCCCTCTCACGCGTTCTTTTTGTTCAACAGATAATGGGCCAAGACTAATGTAATCATTCTATTTTAGCTCATATTAGGATAAAGAACCAAAATGAAGAATTCACGTACATAAATTCCATTGTTGGAACACGCAATGTGTGATAAGAGGCTAATTCACCAATTGCATTCCAATCTAAATCAGGTTCATCATCGTCATCATCGACCTGTCTTCCTCCCATGAACGTAATAAGCTTGGATATGTAGGCATCTACATCAAATGCATTGTTATCCAATTTCATACGACGTGCCTTCTGAACTCCCAAATCACTAGTTAAAACGAGAAGACGCGAATCAAGAGTGGCTTCATGCGTATTTTTTACTTTACAAAAAAGGAAAGATCGACTCTTAGTTGGGCTCTAGAAAACCAAAATCTTCAAAATTTAAGGGAAATACCTTTTTGAACTAATTCATTTGCCTTTGCTATGTTAAGTGCGAGGCCATCAGAATCCGATCTTAGATAATCTTGGCGCTTTTCTATAGACACGAAAATTTATTAAATTATAATCACAGTTTTCCATAATTAATCAAACAGTCTTATTTATAATTGACTCCTATTTAACAGCAGACGTTTATTCAATTTCTCAATAATATAATATTATGTTATGGTTCATTATAGATCTAACGAGGCTTAAAAAATAATTTTGTCTTTTTTTTTCAAAGATCTTTACGTTCTTTAATCTATTAAAAATAACTTTATTCACGAAAAAGTTCAAAATGCCAGTATTACCTTCTGTCTCTGATATGAGATTCCGATATTCCCTACGTAACCAGCGTTTCTCGTCTTTATCTTGGTCTGGATCATAAGTCTCATTATTAAGAATTTTTTCATATTTTGAGGAACTGGCAGGTTCATTATCTTCTACTTGCTTATCTAGATTTATATCCATCGCGTTTTCTTTATCTGAGTCATGAGGTATTTGACGTGTTCCGGAATGTGCCATCTCTTTATATCTTTTATTTGGAGTAAAAAACAATACGCGTCAAATCGAGAGAAGGTTGAAAAATTAATGAAATCAATGCTGTGATTTAATTTGATTTAATTGTAAACTTGTATTACGGTGTACACACGGTGTTACGTCCGAACAATCCGAACTCAGATCCTCTAATTTATACTGTAAAAAATTTTTTTATATTTAATCAAATTGAGATTAGCTCACGATTTTTTTATATCAGATAACAATCAACAATTTTGATTTGCTAATTTTCGGGTCATTGTCTATAACAATTCATAAAAATTATCGTTATACAACACCAATATAGTATTAGTTTTTCGTAGTCTAAAGAATGTTGTAATATTTTACGTATAATTAGAATTAAACAAAAATATATACTATAAACTATATTAAAATTTTTTATTAAAATTTAAAACATAATAATATTAAATATAATTAGTACGGTATAATTTTTTAATAATTACAACAAAAATTAAATAAAAGCCAAATTAATTGAATTTAAAAATTAGAATTTTGCTATTTATCACCACTGGTGATCATCACCGGTGTTGTGCTATATCTCAAAAACGTACTAAGTAAACGGGATCGGGTACTCTAAGTAAAAATGTCCAGAACCCCCGAAAACCTCATGAGAACTAAAATCGGGACCTTATATTAGCTCTATAATATTATATAAAAAAAAATAATTCTTTAATTTCTAACTCTAATTCTAACAAATCTTAGA